TCTCGCTGCGGGAAACACACGTTGTCAGCGCTGTCATCTGCCGGTGCGTTAAGACCACCTCAGTGTCAGATTTTGGAAACTTGATTTTGAGTTGTCTCATGGCAGTTAGGGTATAAGGGACAAACCAAGGGACTTTACTTCCTCTTGATATTATTTACAAAAAAAAAACTAAATATAGCCTACTTGTTGTTATTGTCTTTTCATCTGTAAACTCCCTCAATGGGGCCGCTCGCTCTCTTTTCTTAATCGCCCTCTCACGGGTGAACAGTTCACTGTCCTGCTTCATTGTAGGATTTCGGCCATGTCTCTACCACTTTAGTTTGACCATCTCTGTTATTAAGTTATGGAATACTAAATAAATAAGTAATTAGATACCTTACTGTTACTGCGCTCATAAAGAATGATAAGAATAAGAATAATGTGTATTGAACTGGTTTCATTAATTAGTGAGTTTATTTAAGGTAATTAGTGAGAGGCCCTATTTTATCAGTATGTCTGGACTGCACAGCAGTTACAATGGTCAAACTACATTAGAACAGAATTGTCCCCATTTTGTCTTTAATAGTTACTAACATTAGATATTTTTGGTGAGATATGGACCGCAAAACTAAAAATGTCCCTGGTTTTCATTTTTAAAATCAAGTCACCGAATGCAAGTAGTCGCCTTAGCTTATTTTGTTATGAGATGTGAATTACTGTTCAATTTAGTTGATGTGGTTTCTTTTACATTAAAAACAAGTTACCATACGGGGGGAGGCCCTTTTTCCAGTTTAGAGCAATAGCCCCTCCAAATGTCCGTGCACGTCCCTGCCCCTAATGGTGGATTATAAATTCATTTTGCTTACAGCTACAGTATTTCTTAGAATCCATTGCATTTTTGTTCGGCAAAAGTAAAATATTCCTTACTTTTAATTTCATTAACACTACCACAATGCCTAGTAGTGTATTTGTGTTCTTTAAGGGAATCTGAATAACTTACATTTCAAATAGTCTATATACAAAAAAGTTTGCGTAATTATCTCTTCATACCTATAACCCCTCAGTTCGCCTTTTGATTACATAAAACGTGTAGAATTTGAAATCTGGAAGGCAAAAAAGTGAGTTGAGGTTTGACTTCCAGGCAGCTGAGAAAAGATGGAGTACACACACACGCGCGGCTGGTGGAGCTCAGAAACGTTTGGGCCATAAAGTTTGACATATGGAATGGTGTGTTAATCAAAGACTTAGCGCTTCCAGCTGGAGCAGCCTCACTGGGAACACAGTCTGACATGCATACTTGAGAATGTCCTGCCTGTGTGTGTGTTTCTCATGATAATGTATTGTAATCCCTGTCATCTTTTGTAGTGAGGGGTGGTATTTGTGGGCTTGGTTTTGCACGTGTGTGTATAGAGTGTGGTTGCAAGTGTTCTATACGTTTGTCCTCCTAAACCTATCCATGACTTAACCCTTTCAATCTCCATCCAACTATTGTTTATATAGTTTACAGCAAGGATTTGCATGATCTCCTCTGAGAAAGCTGACTGTTGAGAGGGATGAAGAGAGCAAAGAGTATGGATTTAAAAAGGAGAAAGAGAGGCAGGAGCACATAGAGTTGCAAAGGGGTGGAAAATGTCCTAGGAAAGTTAACCTCGGAAATGTCTACTTAAAAAGCAAAATCATTTGATATCAATACTATTTTAGTCATACAAAAGGTAATTTAGTACACCATATATATTCAAAATGCATCTTTGCTTGAATATATATGTATTCTAGAATGGAACAACGATAAAGTAATATTTCCTCCAAGGATCAATAAAGTATTTCTGATTATGATTCACTTAAGCAGAGTGTTTCGTTTTTTGGGGGAAAAAAAACCTTTTCACTTTACTCTTAATGCCTTTCGATATTCTGTTTTCATTCTCCATCCAGATTATCTCAAACACAAACAAACTAAATGCTGAAATCCGTACATTGCTGGCAATAAAAGCTGGGGAAGAAAACATTTACAAAACGGCATACGATCAAAGCCGGACCCTAGTGCTGTCTTAGTGTAAATAACATCCTGCCGACCTAATTCCCTACTGGATATAGTTTTTCTCCAGAATGGCCCATACTTGAGATATACACCACAGTATAGCATCTCAGCCCCAACGCAAGAGTGGTGGAAAGCTTCACAGCTGAAATATATGAAGTGCATATATACACATGTGTGACTCTTGGTGTTTGGAGGAGTGGCTTCAACACTGGCATTATTGCAATACAATCTAATGACATTGATTTAAGCACGTCCGAGCAATACACTTAAATAACCCTTGACATTATTGTGACCCAACTTTCAGCCATGTGTAAGGACAAGGAAGCTAACACACACTCCTGCAGTTCAGCATTACAGTATGTAGCATGTTAGAGCAAGTCAAGGAATGGCTTGGTATATGAATATTAACAACAAAGTTATTAACATTTCGATGATTAAATGTGTCAGTTTACTTCGTGGTGGTCATTGTGTTCAAGACATGCAGATATTAATCCTGATCCATGTAGAAAACGACATATTTTGATTGGTTTCCAAGAACGAGATGGATTGTGCTATAGACTTAAACTGCATACTGATGTGAGAAACCACAGCACAGTGTACTACTGCTGCAGAAGCAAACAATTTGACAAGAAAAAAGCACATTTGAAAGAAGAAAAGACAGCATTGTCTCTTATTCATCTCGGTAACAAAAATGCAATGCTTACAGAACAAGCATAGACTTCCTGAATTCCTAGAGAGGCAGATAAGTAACTTAAGAAAGGTTAAGAGAGCATAAGACAACATGGAAACAGAGAGATACAAAGGGAAAAAAGTGATGAAAGGAAAAAGAGAGCATTGGAGAGGGCAGGGAAACAAAGAGGGCTTCATTGTGTTGGATCCTAGTCATTACTGAAGGAGGCGATAGCATAATATAGTGCTAATGGGGGAACAAATCGTGTGGTGTTCAGCTTACATAACTGCTGAGTAACTAATCACACAAAATGTGTTCTTGACACACAGGCAGTTTTATGGCCTCTCTTTTTAGCACTCAAACAGAAATAGCCATTTGGTAAATGTTTTAGGGAATTTACTGAACAAAATATAAAACGTTTTTTTTGCTGTTATCCAGCGATGCATGCCCTGACCCATCACCTTTCTGTCTTGCAGAGGCCTATACTAGCAGGAGCAGTGGTCAACTGTCACTACCTTCTCACCGAATGAGACCGCATGTGCAAGACTACCTGATGACCCAAATGGCCAGCTGTTTGCAGAACGAGGTAGGAGAAGGGAGGGGGTGCAAACCGAACGAGAGAGAGAGAGAAGACTGTGCAGTGAGACTCCATCTGCTAATGTGCGTCATTCCTTGACAGTTCTGGCACATCTAAAGAAGCCAATGTACTTCATGCTGGGACTTCATCAATGCCAAAGCAGAAGGCATCAATGTGCAAAAATGATCGCTCTCAAGCTTGTAGATATTTATATGCTGCTATAGGAGATTACCAGTATTGTACATCAAGTAGGATAAGCTAGAGTCCCAGATGCACCTTCTCAGGCAAATGTTTGTCCCAAACCTTATGAGAACATGTGTTCTCTACAGCATTTAAGCAATATGCAGAGGCCTGCTGCTTGCTGTGTGCCATTTTTTCAGTCATTCTTGAGTACCACATTGGCCATACATCAATACACTTCTGTCTTCAGGAGCAACAG